CCCTTGCCTGCCTCTTGTAATTACAACTGCAGCCCTAGTCCTCCTCACCCCACCTTCTTCCCCAACTTTGTGTCCACCGTTTTGTAGATCATTCCTTTTGTCACCTTACGTGAAGAGTTTGTCCTGGCCAGGCCTCAGGGAGCCGCAGAGATTATTTGATGACTTGAGAGATGAGGGGTCCATTGCTGGGAAAGTGAAATAGGTGTCAGGAGAGTGGGCTGTGTGTGTCTTGGTTCTGGTGTGGGAAGGTGAGGCTCAGCGACTCCTTTTCTTGACAGAGCAGTAAAACCTTTCCTAGACAGATAAGGAAACAAGACACATTTTTCTGGCAAAGATGTTCCATCATCTTCAGCATTTGCCCATAACCTGCACCCCCAAGACAGGAATTCTTTCTTCAAGGAGTCAGAGAATAGACTTTATTCTCTAAGGATCGTACAACTAAGATAAGAGAGGATGAAGGGAAGGAGCATTTGGAACTTGTAAAAACGAAGGATGGAGTAGAGGAGGAAGACGAAGTTCCAGTATTCCTTGGAGAAGACATCAAGTGGCTGTGGTAGTGAAAAAAAGGAAGCTTGTCTGCAACAGCGGGCAGGAAGAGTTTGGGGCTAGATATTGGTCCCCTCTCCGCTCCCCCCCACCCCCAAAGCCTCCAGCTCCTGTAGGGGCACAGTGGTGGAGGAGGACTCGGACAGCTGGGCTTTGTGGTACTTCCCAAACAGAAGGTGAGACACAAAATGTAAATGATAAATTTTCAAGACAGTTTTCCTGGAAACGGCTCCCTTCCATTCAAAAATAGGAGCGTTTCCTTTTATTAAGCTTTGCGCGTGGTCCTTGTCACCTTCCAGTTTGGTCAGTTGTTGTGATGTTGCAACCCTACTGCAAACTGCAGGGATCCGCTAAGATCACGCTCCTCCCCGGTCACTGACTGTCAGAGCAGAAGCACTCTATCACAGGGGTTTGCTCAGTGCCTTGCCTTCATTTAGAAATGTTCGCAATTTGTTCTGGTATGTTTAAAATTTCTCTCCCCTCATTTTCTAAAAATCAGTAGTGAATGAGATGCTGTGTTTGGATGGCATCAGAACAAACTATTCTATATGTGACCTTACTCTGAAATTTTTGAAACGGTTATTGCTAGGTTTGGACAGCGTGACCGGTCAGCACTGGGATATTTTATGAATATGCTGTTACAATTTTAGGTTTTCTACTTACAATAGTTAGCTGTAAACAATTCCAGGAAATCTCAGAACACCTCTTGAACAAAACCCTTAAAAATAAATTTCGTTTAAAATTGCCTTTTTTTTTTTTTTTTTAAAGGTTAGAATTGAGACAGATTGCATTTGGATTGTTGAATTATTTTAATCCAAAAAGAATTTTTAACAAATTCTCTATTTGCCAGAAGTTTGAATGTTTTAATCTCATTTCCTGTTGGAACAGGCTTTCAAACATTTCTGAATGCTTGATGAATGAGATGAGGTTTTTGCTCAGTCCCCTTCAATACCTGCAGGAAATGTCTTTTGTAGCAATTTATGAAAGATGATCATGACGGGGGAAATTGTATTTCTGTTCTGACGGAGAAGTGTAGATTTTGGCCTTCTCGTGTGGTTGAAACGTAGGAGAGGTCACCTGGTATTTGTCTTGGCCATCATGCAGTTCTAAGGAGAGGCCAACAGCCCGGAACAGCAAGTCTTGTTGGTGTGAAAGCAGAAGCAAAATTGGTGCTTCGTAATGTGAGCTGCGATGGCCGCAGTATGAGTTGCTTCAGTGTGGGAGAACTCCTTTAATTAGCCTGTCCTTTCCCTCCTCTTATTCTGCGATGCATGATTATTCTTTACAATGCAAAAGTTACTATTTAGGTAGCTCTAGTACATGTGCCTCATCTGCTTTGTCATTTGTATGAATTTAATTTTACTTAACTCTGTATTTCATAATCTGATTTTGAGAAGTATTTTCTCTTACACAGAGGCTCAACGATAAAACTGGACCAGTTGCGTCAGAGAAGAGTTGACATTTGAATGATACTTGAGAACTGCATGTCCTGCTGTTATAGCACTTCATTGGGCTGCAAACTGCAGTTTTCCCTTCTGCAGACTGAAGAAATGCAACAAGGAACTCTCACGGCACAGCAAAAGGTTAATGGTTTTCATACGGATATTTTTCGTAGGCTTTCCTTTGCTTTCTTGTTGCACTAAAATGGATGTACTTTTTAACGTTTCAGACTGTGAAGTAGATAAAACTCTGTAAACCATAATTATTTTGTCAATATGATGGTACTAAGTACAAATGCAACCATAGAAAAACATACACTTGGCTCTTCAGTCCTAATCTTAGAAATTTAAAGGCTAGTAAGCTGTCTGCAGTCGTGCATTACTTTGGTTTCAGAGCAGTAGTCTTTGAAAAACCAAGCACCCCCACCCCTAGCCCGTCTGATCTGCTGCTGCAGTTGCAATATAATAACCTTTTCCACTAAGCTTGTAATGGCAGCCTGGACTTGCTGTTTGCCCTTTCTTTTTTACACACTGATTTTGAAACCTGACTCGTTAAGGAATCCACTTCTGAACTTTTTATTCCTTTAAATTCCTGTTGTTATATAGTGGGAGAGTTTTTTCCTGAGTAAGAATTACAGCATGGAATCCAAAGTTTATTAATTTTGGTGTAGGTTTTAGCGTTCTGAGGTTTTTAAAGGAACCGCTTTGGTTCCAGTGACAAAGTTTTCTTACCAGATGAGAAGGCCGCACTGGAAGAAGTACGCGTAGTGTTTGGCCTAAACCAAGTGCCTGTTGCTACCTCCGTTTTGTTGAAATGGCTGCAAACAGCTGATCATGCACTAGACGTGTCCTTGTTAGCAGCGGGAATATTCTGTGTTGCACCAGCAGCCTTGTTGTTCTGCCTTTACTAGAGGTGTTTATACCACTGTAGATAGCTCAGGCAGATCGTTACCTGGGTCACTTTTCACTAATAAATTACCAAAAAAGCGAGCGAGTATTTCCCACTAACATTTACCAGTGGTTGAAACGGGTGAACTTGTGTTAACACACCACTTCCGACAGCAGCTGATTTCATGGCCTGAGTCTATGCAGTACGGTGAAGGAGAGCTTAAAAAAGGGGGGCGATGACCACTAATCGACATTAAGGTGGGAATTATTAGAGGAAAAGACCCAGCTGTAATTAGACCTCCACTGTGTACTTATTTGGAAGAACATGTTAATTCTGCAATATGTTTCTTAGTTAAACATTGCACAGTTCTTACCTCATTTCTGTAAATAAAGTTTTGTGAATCTGTTTTGTATTGTGAAGAATTCATAAGAAAACATTGATATTTTGATTTGTAATATTTCTAATTAGTAGATTTAATTGAAAAAGTAAAAATAATTTATTTTTATATGTTCTGGGGAATTTTTTAAAAATGTCACAAATCACTTTTGTAGATACTTTACAAAAGTAAACCAGTGGTTTATTTTACTTACTCAACCCGCTGGTGGATATTCTGTAACAATTTGTACAAAAGGTAAGATGGAAATGTGCTGTTATTTTGCCTAGATGTAAAATTCCAAGTGTATGAAAAGATATGTGCAAAGCTTTTGTTAATAAACTTTAATAATGTTTATAGTTGTATACAGCTTGTGTGAATGTGAGTCTGGGAGAAGAGTGGAAATGTTTCTATTAACGTCACCACAGGAAGGATTTCAATTGCACGTGGCCACTGAAACTTGACTACAAGTTTTTAAAAAAATGTTTCTCATGTAAATTTTCGCTTTCAGGAGACACCGCTGCAGCTGCAGTACTGTCCTGGGACATTTTTGCTTACTGGACGTTACTGTCCAGTTGTGGCCCCGTGCCGTAGTCTGATGTCGGAGCTTTTTGCTTTCATCCTGCAAAGAGGAATTACTGCAAAGTTGCGGGAGGAGGAATGAGCTGTTGCTCTCGTGGCCCTGCCTCCTTTGGAAATAACTTGGTGAGAGCTCTGTGGAGGTGGGACGGGCTCTTTATCTGCACCGTGCCTGTGTTAAGGTGATCGAGGCCTTTGGTTGCAGCTGTAATTTTCGCATTGTATTTGCTGTAGAACCAGCTCAGTGGTGGGTTTTGTTCAGAAATTTGCTTATTGTCCATGGAGGGGTTGGTGGGAGCACACAGCTGAACTCCTGGTCTTGTACTTCCCAGGCAGCCAGGAGGAACCTGACCCTCCCCGTGCAGTCACTTGCAGGTGAAGTGCGAGGTCTGTGGCAGCGCAGGCGTTGGCAGACGAGGGCTGCGTTTTTAGCCCTGTGCTGGTCAGGTGCTTTTGGAACAAGCAGCAGGAAGGGGGCCTTGCCACAGGCCTGTGCCACTCGTACATTGTTCCACCTGCTCACGTCCTGGGGCTGGAATACCTGGGGCTTATTTTCAAATGGGGAAAACTGGAGTCCTGAAAGAAGACAGGGAAAGGAGAAGCTCAGAACCAACAGCGGGGGAATGTGAACCAGTGCCTGGCCCAGCTGGGGCGTCCATCGCGGACCCCCCTGCC